AGAAACTTATTATATCCTGCACATTCATTTCTGTATATGTAGGACTCATCTGTTTTCACTGCTACTTAATATAATGTATACCACAATGCATCTTTTTGATGACTATTTTGGTTTTTCCAATTTTGTAACAAGCAAATGTACAAATGACATTATAAAACATAACTTGTGATCCCACATTTCTTTAGGGTATATATTAAAAAATTGGCATTGTTGGGTCACAGGTACACGAATTTTAAGTTTTAATGGATATTACCCAATTGCTTTTTAAAGTGGCAGTGCAAATCTGTGCACTCACCAACAATGGGAGGTTACTGTTTTCTGACACACTTGCCTGCTTGTGATATATATGGATATACATCTATATCTTCTTTTTTTACTACTTGCCAACTGGATCTGAGAGCTTCTGGGGTTTTGATATTTTCTTTATTTTGTAAGGTTCAGCATCTCTTCATCTCTATAACTTTTGCTTATGAAAGCATTTCCATAGTTTTGTGACCCAAAAGTAGCTGATGATCGACTTCTAATTTAGCTGGAGTTAGTTTCTGTAAGAGACCCAAACTTACTTTTTCTAAATGTTGTGCTCTTATTACTATTTGTTGACTAATTTTTTCCCTACTGATTTGAAATGTCACGTTTATCATTACTCTATATTTATGTCAGTTCTGTGAGATTCTTTTTGGTACCAGGCACCTGTGTGATTTTTAACTTGGTTCAATGAATGGTAGCTGATCTGATTAGTGCTGCTTATGATACAATAGGTCATTTATAATACTCAAACACTACTTAAGATTCAAATCAGTTCCATTAACTATAAACTTAAGAGCAAGAAAAGTGTGTACATTTCTCAGATTAGTTTCTCTCTTTTGGGGGGATACCTTATAGGCTCAAGGTAAAGGTGGGAACCTTTTTTGTGTTTCCCTATTTCTAAAAATGTTATTGATGTTAAAGCTTTCTGGGGTCAGGGAGATATCTCAGTAGAATAAGCACTTGCCTGGCAAGCACGGGGTCCTGAGTTCAATCCCCGGTACCGCAAAAAAAAAAAACCCAAAACAAAAAAAACCCTTTGGGGCCGGGGAGATAGCTCAGTAGAATAAGTGCTTCCCTGGCAAGCACAAGTCCTGAGTTCAATCCCTGGTACCTGGAAAAAAAAAAAGAAAAAATAAACTTTCTGGTGACAAAGTTGTGTCTGGGCAAGGGCAACGAGTTTCACGTGACATGGCAACATCACTGCTGATGTACATGAACCTTTCATGAAACAGATGCTACAAGGTCCACAAACTATTGGACATTTACTCTGAATAAAAAATATGGCACTTCAGTTTTTACTTTGACACTGAACTACGAGCTCCTGGAAAGCACAAATCATACACTAGTCACCTTTGTGTCCCCTAGGAGATAGAGTACAGGGTGCAGCATCTACACTTTAATAGAATTGCATTAGAACATTTTTTTTTTTTTTTGTATTTTAGGACAGGGTCTACAGGGTCTCACTATGTAGATCGGACTCACAGTGATCCACCTGTGTTCAGCCTCCCAAGAGCTGGGATTACAGGCGTGCGCCACCACACCCAGTCTCAATTGCCATCTCAGTATGCCCCAGAAGCAGGGCAGGCCTGAGATCAAACCCTGGGTGCAGAAATATTTCTTTTTTTTTAGTAACAACATTTCTATAAAATAAAAAATAAGCCTAAATTGTTTGAAAACTTCTCTTTTGGAGTTTTATAATTTTGAATAATCTGCCACTTGATCAAGTGATGTATTTATTATATGATGTCATAGAGTAGAAAAATGCCCACAGCCTTCCTCAGGTTTGATCTATCTATAGATGTACTGCTTGCCTGTGAAATGACACCAAGAAGTGTGATATGGAAAAACTCTGTATTGGGCAAGAGTATTTTATAGTTGCTACACGAAAACACTGTATGTAGGTGAAAGATTGAAATGGAAAAAAAGGTAACTTTTTTATGGGAAAGTTGAAGTGTGGCATTTACTTCCTAAAATTCAGTTCTTTTTCTAGGTCAGCACACCTTTTCCTTCCCTCTTTGAAAGGGGTAACTATGGCTTCTGTAGGCAGCAAACTTCATCAGTGCTGTGACATTAGGCAGCAGGGAAATTCCCCAATGCTTCCTTTTAGCATTTTCATCTCTGAACGTAGCATGCCATATCGATCAGGAAAAGGGTTACACAGTATTTGTATAGTACAAAAAGAATGCATGCATTTAAACAGATTTTGGTATAGACATTCTGTGCTCTAATATAGAAATATATGAGACAGGGATTCATTCTAGAATTTTAAAACTGTGTAAATAGGTACAAACATAAACCACAAAATAATGAACAAGTAGTATTGCTAGAAATTAGGTTATTAGGAAGCTTGAGGTATGAAGTGGGAGAAAAGGTTCAGTTTTGCATAAGCAGCAGATTGTATTCAGAAGAAAAAGCTGCTGGACTGACTTATGTCGATGCATGGAAAGCTGAAGCTGACGACAAACTACTCTGACAGTAACTTGCAATGGGGCCAGTACCTGTATTACCCTTTCCAGGGATTGAGGAATAGCTTTTAGGGAAAACCGTTAGACTCATGGCAATTGTAGTCACTATAGAAGAATTTTAATTTTAGGGTAAAATTTTTACAGGCATGACCAAAGCTCTTTGATTTCCTCCACCCTTGTTAAATTCTTGCAATTCAATTTCAGAGATACATGACTGTTAGACATAAAAGGCAACTTAAACTTTCAAGTACAGGAATTGGGGTCTTTGATTTTCCTTAAAGGTCAAAAAAGCAGGGCATCTGATGTTGAGAATGGAGTATTTATTGAAAAATGGTACAGAAAGACCCAAGAAAAACTTCTCAAGCTTCACAAAATTGCCTAACTTCGTTTTATTCTGGATTATTGTTGTCCAGCCTAAATTACTTCTTTCCAGTTTCATCCCTCCAATCTTACTTCCTGTCTGTCACTGCAATTGAGTACAATATCCCATTACTTTGGATAAATCATTGTTTTCTGAGGTGGAGCAGTCATTATGTCAGTTTTTGCATAATTCTATGGCTGTTTTAATGAGCCTTGTTTATGCTCTCCTTTATATTCCAGTGCTGTTTTCTTTGTACCTGAAACGTCCTTCTAATTGGCTCATTATAACCTCCAAAACACAGATGTCAACTTTTCCGATAGCTACCCCACAAAGCTATCCTTGACTATAGTACTTGGCTTGCTTATATCTTTACACTGCGTATCTCAAGAATTGGACTCTGCAACAGGATTCCTGGAGAACTGAGTCAAACCATAAAGTACCTATCACTGGTCTTCATTAATTTTTAATTATAAAGTGACTGAATGCTTAATCTTCCCAACTTCCCCAATAAAATACATTTTTATTTTTTGGGACATGGCAAGCTGTAAATATTACATATTTTGGAACTAGCTAAAATGAATTTTCTTTAGGGAAACCAAGGTTTAAAAATTGTACACATACTACAGTAACAAACTATTATTTTCTGGTTGGCTCAATTAAACCACCAGCAAGCTTATATAGCACCTCAGACTACAGGAATTATACTGAGAAACACTTAAGACTGTGCCTCCCAAAATTAATATTCTATTCAAAGTAAAAGATCCTAAAACTCCAAGATAAAATGGAAATTAAGATCCTGAAAGGACTAATCAATTGGGAGAATACTTGACACTTCCAAACATAAACATACTTGCTTTTTCCACCTTTTACGTCTGCTCCTGATTTTGGAGTATTGGGTGTGCTTCATAGGACTAGGTTTGGATGTAAATACTTTCCGCTGCATTGGGGCAAGGGGAAGAGAGTACAGGATGGCAGATAGGGGGTGTCTGAACTCTAGCACAAGGACAAGATAAGCAGAGAACAAGAACAATCAACTGCATTTTTGGAAAATTGCACCATGAGTTTCTTGTCATTAAACTGAAAAGTTTATTAGTTAAGGCTTTAATACATATTGCCAAATCATTTTTTTGAGAACACAGGAAAACCTGCCTTACTACATTAAGCCCTGCTATTTAAAAGACACATAACTATCTGTTAAAAATATTAATTTGCATTTCTTACATTATTAGAGATTGAACTCTCAGAAACCATTTTTACCTATTTTGTTTTTAAAATATGTAATAGTAATTATTGGTTGTTATTTTAAACCTTGATAAATATTAATGTCTTAGTATTATGGTTATGAAGTGTTTTTCTATTCCCAGAATCAAAACTTCTCTTATTTCCATAGAAATTATACACTCCACCCCTTTTTGGTGTGGAGAATTAAACACAGGGCCTTGTGCATGATAGGGTATATTCTACCACTGAGTCTTATAACCCCTTTTCTAATATTAGTTTTTCTTTGCCTGTATCAAGCATCCCCTTGGTAGGATTGGAAAAGTATATCTAGGAATCTGATATTACATCAATCCATCAATAAAGTTTTACATTGCATCTCACCTATCGTGGCTCTATGATTCTGAAACCACAACCTTAATGTTTGAGCCTATACTGTATATTTAGTTCTTTTAAATATTTCTAATGTTATTAAAATTTTGTTCACTGAACAATATATCCTGCAGCATAACTAGCATATAAAATATTTGGTAATCCAATGTACAATTCAATTTTATGCCTTTTGTTTTATGGTTAATCTGTTTTTATTTCAAAAAGATAAACATTTACCCTCTTTTACATGGAGAGGTAATTGCTATTTCTCACTAACTCCTGATTAGCTAGCTGGCAACAGATATAGCACAAGTTAATTCTACAGGCACCTTTCTGAATTCAAGTAAAAGTTTTGGTAGACAAGGATTTCCTACTTATATCATTAACACATATGAACACTGAGTATAAATATTGCTCACCATTCTTGCATTCTTTAAATTATTTTACTTTGAAAATTTAAGGACTATCACTGTCATCGACAAGTTTCTATTTAAGGAATATTTTGATCTGTGAAAATACAAATCTAGTTAAATTTTGAACACATGTAGAGCCAAATATTTCAACAAAACTGCAGTTTAATTTCAGAAAGTGTTAAAATATATTTATACATCAATTTCTGACATACACTTAATGTGTTAGTATACACAAAATGATGCTTCCTCTTGAAACTGTATTTATGAAATGTACATTTTAATTTAAATACTCAGTATACACTGCACTTAATCTGCATGTTGCATTTATTAAATACATTAAAATCTGCAATGTAACAAAACGTTTTCTGCATACGAAATTCAAAACACCATTTTAAATGAACAAAAGATGGCTCACTTCATTTTTGTTTTTGTACAACTAGTGTATTGTACACTAGCTCAGCTCCACCACACTACCTGTTCTTTCTTTTTATTTGACATTGTTCACAGACTAGTACATATTACAATAAGAGTGCTGGATAAAAACATGAGGTACGAAAGTGGTTCAAAGATTATAGGTCATGCAGATCATGCTAGACAGCAAAGAAAATTGTGACCAAGAAAAATACTAAATAAAAATACATAAAAGAATGTGCATTATATATATATATATATATTTAAAAAAAAAGACCAAAAACAAAACCCAAAACTCCATTACACAGCTTTGCTTCTTTGGTTACAAAGTAGGTTGAACAATTTCACAGCTTTTTATTCCCACCTGGAAAAAAAAAGTCATACGAAATGTTGAAAAGCAGAGGAATCGTGGCAATTTCTCTATTAGAAAGTAGAAACAAATGAACAAAGTTTTCTTCATCAAAATAGCCCGATTATTTATTATATCACAATAACTGGTGACTACCTGTACAGTTGCACTATGTTCTTCATACTTACACTATACAAAATTTACATTCAAGCTGGGTCTTTACTACTGAAAATAAATACCAAAGGTAAATTGCCATTAGTGTTAGAAATATGCCAGGATTCTTTTGTTCAATTATTGCCTAAACGTTTTATTTATTAAACGCAATCCTGTCTTTTATTTCCTTTACTGATACTTATAATTATCCAAAAAAATTAAAAAAAGTTCTGTGACATTGTTCATGTACATTATGAAAATAGCAGCCCTGTAATAAATAAAACACAAATAAATGAAAACTTATGTAGGCAAATGTTACTGATATTGAAAGAATAGTGGCTCTTTAAATGAACTGTTATTTATAATATGATGAAGAAGGCTCAAGGTAAATCCATGGGTAATAGGAAACATGGGAGAGCCACCAAAATGCTTACAGACCCCACTCATGTGCACCAGGTAAAATGCAGACTTCGCTTGCTTTAATAAACTCCATCTATTATTCTCCTTGTGTACTGATGACACAGAACTGGACGTCAACAGTGCTGCATGACATCTTAGAGGAAAAGCTCTTGTAGAATGATTGTCTAATACTGAAAAGGCCAAACACACAACCAAAGCATGGCTACTTGCTTTCGTATAAAGTGAAGGAAAAGAATACCAGTGGCACACAAGGATAGATTGCTTTTTCCTTAATGAGGCTTAGAAAGCTTTATGCAGAGGAGACATTCGGCTGCTGTGGAGGTTGCATTGGCTGCGAAGGCTGTGCTATCACTGCTTGCTGCTGAGAAGTGCTACCAGGATTGGCCTGTTGGGCTGGGAGTTGGGATAATTGATCATTGTTTGAAAGAGATTTTAACAGTGCATTTTCTCGTTCAAGTAAAGAGTTTCTTTCAACTAATTCTTTTATTTGTTCCTTTAGAACTTCCACTTCTTCTCTTACTGCATACATCAAATGGCTTTTCACCAGATCCTGTGAAAAACAAAATTAGGAATGTCAAAGTGAATGAAAGGGAAAGGTGGGCCTATGTGGTTCTAGCCCAGCTTTGAAACACAAGGTGTGATTATATTATATTTGTTTGCTTTTGCTTTTAGTGTTTCTGCTATAACCTGACTTATGGGAGATGGGTGGAAAAATCTAGTTTCCACCTATAAGCAGCAGCGAGCTTGGAATTTTCAAAGTTTAAAATGATTTCCCAAAAGTCTTTCTTTTTTAACTGATAATTTATAAATTTAGGATTAGCTCCAGACATAGTAGAGGATGCCTGGAATCCTAGCTACTTCAGAGTGGGGTGAGTGATATTGTAATACTCCAATAGAAAGCTGCCTGGTAATGAAACTACTTATAAATCAATTTTAGAGATAAAATGACCTGTAACTTCCAACTTTAAAGTCTGATTTATATTTTCTCACAGCTTGAGACTGAAAGTCCTTTTTATAGCTTACCTATACTTTAACCTTAAATCAATATTTTTTACAATATAAAAAATTATTTTTAAGGGAACAAAAAAATTGATAGCAGTAGCAGAAACCAGAACCAGAAACAAGTCTAATGATCAGATCCCACTGGGACAACACCTGTAATAACCAGAGGACGGAGATCATGCTCTGCTGAAAATATACTACTTTAATCATGTGTGACTCCTTCAACAGCCCTTTATCAATGGCAATGCATGAAATGTGAGACATTGAAATGGGATATGTATTTACTCGAATGATACTTCTGGACTAAAAATTCTCAATGTTCTAGGCATTTCTGACTAAAACAGCATCAAAAAATATAATCTGGCTAACTTTGTTTAAAGGCATTAGGCATCTGCTAGTGTGAATTCATAAAAAGTGCTTCATTCAAACAACAATCTATGAAATGAGAGGATTATAAACTTTTACTTACCATTGCTTGTTCTATTTTGTTGTCGATGGCTACACCACCTCCCCCAGATGCACTGGAAAAAATTAGAATATCTCATTAAGTTATTCTAAAAAATATTTAATCTGCCTTCCTACTCTTAAAAATAATGTAGGAAACATTTTGTGTTTCACTTAAAAACAAACACAATAATTTGAAATAGCTTATTAAGTCTATTATCACAATTTTAGTACTCAGAGCTCTAACTTTTAAAGTGAAGGTTTCAGTAAATGGATGACTTCTAACAACTACTGTAGGCTCAACATTTACCATTTGTCTGTAATAAGACATATGTATACTAATTTAAAAGCATCACTTTTATTCAGGTGTTTTTCTTTCTGAAAAGAATACATTTTGAATGAGCAGTAACCTCTCATTTTTAAACTTCATTAACCAACTACACATATGATTTGTCTTTCATGAAGAAATCCTAGTGATTTTTTCATTAAAACTTCGATGATGATTTTATACATTTCACATTTTAACATCTGGGTTATAGAAAATGGCTTATAAAAACAATTTAAAGGTTTTCTGGCAGTGCTCATTAACAAGGAATTCAATATTCTGGGGGATTGACATGCTTTGATTACAGATTACTTACTGACAAAAAATCAAGTAATAGAGTTTTTGGCTTAGACTAGTTCTTCCTGAAAATACAAAAGCAGTCAATTTACTAAATATGTCCTAGATTTAAGTATCACCTTAGCATTTGCGTGATATCAGAAAGTTGAATACATAATTGGTGGTTTATGTATTCTTCCATGTATTGAGTAGGAAGAGTAAGTAAACAAGACTCTTGGGCTTTTTTTTGAGAAAGGGTTTCACTGTATAGTTCAGGCTGGCTTTGGATTATGTAGCCCAGGCTGGTTAAAACTTGCAGCAATCCCCTGCTTTAGCCCCCCAAATGTGGGAATTATAGGCATGAACTACCATGCCTGGCTTTGTTGATGATTATATAAATTCTGAAAAACAGAACTATATTTTTTTAATTAGTCTTGCACAGGTAAACCTGGTACCTTGCTGTTTTAATAGAGGAAGATATTCAATGTTGCATAAGGCTTAGAAATATCCTGGTCAGACAATCCATTGGGGCCCCCTTTTTTCCCTTTCTGAGAGAAGCTTTCTTTCCCTCAACAGATATATTCTATCCTACTCTTTAAAAAAGAAAGAAAAGAAAAAGAAAAAGAAAAATCCTGGTCAATGCAGCAGTGCCTTTTAGATTATAATCCAAGTAAGCATGCCCACAGGACTAATTCTGCTATGTATGACAATAACCACATCAAATCACCAACTTAACTTCCCTAGATCTTAGTCCCCCGCTCTGTAAAATGAGCTGGTTATACTGATTCTTCAGTGGGCTTTTTACTTCTAAATTTTTCTGAACATTAATCACCTAAATATAGCATATTATTGAGTTTTTCTTGTTCATATTTCTAAGATGAAAAGGGGTTCTGTATACCTAAAAATGGGGAAGGACATACAAATGATTAACAAATACTTTATACTGTAGGCCTTAATGCTTGGAGAGTGCTTGCTTTGGCAACACATTTACTAAAATTACAACAATACAGAAAGGAATGCTTGTGAACAGCTAGGTATAAAGTAGTAAGACTACATTAACTATAAAAAACATAAGCCTTTAGTGGAAAGTTTGGCACCAGAATCTATGTACATACATATTTACCACAAATATCAACTGTTTTTTGGAAAAAAAATGATATACAATTAGAATAGCATTCGATTGAGAATCCTACGTCATACTTTATTTTTATTTCTACCACAAAAAAATCAGCTTAGTTACTTTATGACTTAAATGCAATCTATTCTTTCAATATATCTGGACTAAAAATATAGTATTAATTATTTTATATATTAACAAGTAACTGGGGAAAAATCTAAAAAAAACCTAACATGATTTCTTCTTTTGTAGTTTGATAACTAAAACCAGCAAGTTTCTAATTCCTTCTTATATTTGAGGATTAGAAGGCTATTCTTTGAATGTTGATTTGAATAGATGTATCCCTTAAAAGATACTAATATTTCAAACCTGTTGAGCACTGTACTCTCACAAAACTACACTGGTCATACATATAATTACTGTCATTACAGTAACCCTTGACTATTTTGAAGGCTCTTATTCAACAATTCAATAATCTAATAGTGGTCAAAAATTATAGTAGCATGCACTTGAAGTCTGGTAAAACAAACTCTTAGGCTCCACCTCAGTTTCTGATTCAGTAGGTATGAAATGGGCCTCAGGAATACATATTTTTAACAAGTTCCCTGATGCTGCTGCCTGACCATTATCTGAGAGTCACTGGCTTACACAGATGAAAGCCAAAGGAGAACGCCCCCTGCAAAAAAAAAAAAACAAAAAAAAACAAAACCCTCTAATTCTATTTCTAAACACTTTTTAGCTTGTTACACAAAATTATTCATGACTTTGACCTCTGCGTTATATTATCTTTTTGTTATACTCTATCCTACTGTATTATTGTTTTACGTAAGTATTTGCAATCTGTGGAACATACTCCCTTCTGCAGGTTTCCTTGACTTTGCAGGAACTGCTCCCTCTGCTGGAGAGGATCACGGCTCCAAGTCTTGAGGGTCACCCCACACCCCAGCCTGTTCTTTCTTCTGCTATGCCTTTTGATTTCCTAAGGTACAGTCAAATTAGTCCATCCCTCCTGTGCTTCATCAATGTTCATAGTTTTATTTCTTAATAGCACAGGAACATAGAATTTGCAATAGCAAGTTCTGGCTCCTCTGTGAATACAGTGTTACTTCAGTTGCAAGTGGAATTGTGGAATGAATTGTGTAACCAGAACCATAAAGAAGTAGTTCATGATGCACCTCTGTATTGGGAAATTATTTTAACATCTGAAGTTCTCAGTTATTTCCCCTAAAATTTAGGATTATACATCCTAACATAAAATTACTGTGATTAAATAAGTCTCTATAATATTTACCATTGTTTCTGGCACACTGAACACTCAATACATGGTGATTATTTTTATAATGCTAACACTGTTGAGTCTACAAGACTGAAGCTCTTGAGGAATAATATTTGCTTAACTTTTTGTAAAGAAGTGAACAGTGTCTGGTACTTAAGAGCTAAAAAGCATATTATTTAAATGTGATACTAGTAATTCAATTTGAAACAATTAATGGTTAAAACTAGGAAACCATTACATTTTTAAAAATTCAGATTAATCAGCAGTTTTCAAAGTATAATTTCTGGATCACAAGCAACAGTGTTACTTGGAACTTGATAGAGACAGAAATATCTGGACACTTTCTAGATCCATGAACATTTTAATAAACTTTCCAGATGATTTGGACAGAAACTAAGGTAGGATAATCACTATTTTACATAGTTAGGTTTACCATATCTGATATCCTTAAGCAAGTAAGAGTATTTTTTATTTCAAGATCCCAGAAAGTGCATTCAAAAATACTATTTCAATGAGGGTAGTCAGGTGTTTTCTATGGTGTTTAAAGAAATGCAGTGATTTGGCTCTTTTTCAAAATAAGGTCAGTGAAGCAGAATGAATGCTTTCAATTTTCCTTCCTTCACCTAATGTTACCTTTTCTTTCTTTCTTTTCTTTTCTTTTCTTTTCTTTTCTTTTCTTTTCTTTTCTTTTCTTTTTTTTTTTTTCAGAACTGGGGATTGAATTCAGGCCCTTGCACTTGCCAGGGAAGCACTTATTCCACTGAGCCATCTCCCTGGCCCCCACCTTTTCTTTTTAATTATTGCATTTATCTCATCAAGTTTAATGGATAACTAGTTTCTGAATTTAAGCTTATCTAGTCTTCCCAAAGTAGGATACATATACTTACTATACAATTAGGTACTCTTAAAAAAGTAAGTGATAAGAATAAACCAGCTAGGCACCAGGACATACACATGTAATGCCAACTGCTCAGAGGGCTGAGGCAGGAGGATCCTAAGTTCAAGGCCAGACTGGACAACTTGCTAAGACCCTGTCAAAAAGAGGGCTGGGGGAAAGATAGGATGTAGCTCAGTGTAGAGTGGCTGCCTAGTAGATGCGAGGCTCTGTGATATCCTTAAGCTGAAATACATCTACTTTAAATTCAGTGTTATAATTACTAGCACAGAAGCATAGAGAAAATAAAGAGCTTAAAATCTTAAATTGCTATTATGGTCAACCACAAGGGCTAATACATCAAAGATTAATTTTTTTTTTTCATTTATGTATTTGGTATGGGGTCTCCCTATGCAGCTCAGATTTGTAGTGATCCTCCTGTTTTCAGCCTCCCCAGTGCTGGGATTACAAGTGTGCACCACTACACCCAGACTCATTTGCCAGCTAAAGGTGCACTGGGGATCACACCCTGGTCCCTGTGCTTCTCAAAGCAGGCACTTAGTTGATAAGTCCACTGAGCTATCTCACTGGCCCTCAAAAGTTAATTTTTACAGAAAAGCCTTCTTTTAGTATGGACTATTCTTTCAGAATAAAATTAAGCCTTAATTAGCATTTTCAGATAAATTGAAAATTATACCTATGGAAGGAACAGAAATATAGCACTATGGAAGAAAGTAAGTTTTTTTTCTGGAACTACCCCCAAATAAACAAATGAGCTTGAATTTAGTGTCTGAAATAAAGCCAATTATAATCATATACGCAGGAAAAGCAAAACTCATAGTATCAATGCATCAGTAAGACAGGCTGGCTTTTCTTGATGTTCTTATGAAAATTTTTTTCCTTATTTGTAGCAATATGGGCAGATACCTCATAGCTGACAGTCCAAATGTCTTTTCTTTTTCCCAGTGGACATATTTTGACTACTTTGTCTTCTGTCTTCCCCTCCATATAAATGCTAATTAATGAAAGTACAGGAAAATATAAATGAATGCCTGTCCACATTATGGCAAGTATACTCTTGTTCCTGAGATCATACAATAACAGGCTTGAGGAACAGTTTCATTTTACAAATGAGCAAACTGAGGTCAATGCTAACAAGACTCTAACTCAGACCTAATGTGAAAATATCCACTTTTTCTTCCATAATGT